GACTGGCTTAAAAGCTGGCAACCTAAATGAAATATTGAGTTCCACGATGAAAGAAAAGTAGGATATAAATGAAATAAAGAAGGCATTTTTTTAAGAAGGAAGATTAAAAAACTGTGTCTTTTTAACTTTGTTGTTGCTATTGTCGTTCAGTCACACAGTCGAGTCCAACTCTTCATGACTCCATGGACCATATCATGCCAGGCCCTTCTGTCTTTCATCATGCTCCAGAGTTTGCTTAATTTCATGGTCATTGCACCGATAACACTGTCTAACCATCTCATCCTTTGCCCTCCCCTTCTTCTTTTATCTCCAATCTTTCCCAGCATCAGGGTCTTCTCCAGTGAGTGCTCCCTTCTCATTTGGTGGCCAAAGTATTGGAGATTCAGCTTCAGTATCTGGCCTTCCAGGGAACAGTCAGGGTTGATTTCTTTTAGGATTGGTTGATTTGATCTCCTTGCAGTCCAAGGCCTCTCAAGAGTCTTCTCCAGCACCATAATTGGAAAGCATATATTCTTCGGCTTTTTAATTTAGAAAACTTTTAACAGGTGGGTGGGTCACAAAAGAGTCTATTAAAACTGGGAAGTGTGTGAAGAGACTTGAGAGGGGCTGGAAATTCCCTTTCAAAATTCAGATCTCAAGAATTCTCCACAGATATTTATAAGCAGGCAAGTTCAGGCAAAGCAAAATTACTCCATCGCAGAGCACTTAGGGGTGTTTTTTTGTGGCCCTCCCTTGAGCATCCCTCTCATTATTTGTGCCTGCACACCAAAGTGGTCAAGTGTTAATAGCCACGAGAACACTTCTGATTCCTTGAACAGGGAGGAAGAGGCTCTGTACTCTCAACGCACACCAGACTCAAGTTGACACCAGTTCAGCCTTTCTCTGCATAGAGACCCAGTTGTGGGATGCACTCTACCTGGTGAATGCCTGCCTGCCAGGAAGCTCTTAAAGGCACAGAGGGGAAAATATAGCATTCCAAATGCAAAATCAAGACCTCTGGACCGGGACCCATGACTCCAGTGAGGGCCAGACCTTGATGTTTACTGCAGAAGCAGGGACAGTAGCGTTCTGACCTTTGTTCGGCTTTGGCCGGGATCGAGCCAAGCGGGGGCGATGTGTTGTCCGCATCCCTTGCTGGCTGAACACACTGTACCATCTGGAGCTTGCTGGCTACCAGTGCTTGGTATCCCAGCTATTTCCCAGTTGTACTAGCTAACCCAATAGTTATGTTGCCACTTTTTATTTTCTGGCAAAGGTCCTTCATGACAGGCAGAAATGCAACTGGCCACTTCGTTTTTCTTCCCCTGGAGATGCAGTGAGTGGACCTGTTAGGGGTAGAATACTGACTGTCATGCAGTTGTTAAAATCTTGGGGACTTTTCTGCTGTAGAATCATGGGTCTGCGCTAGACGGTGTATAGTGGAAGGCACAGCTTCCAACTTGGTAGATGTAGAGCACTGACTGACCAAAGAAAAATCTAGCCTGGCTAGTTCTTGTGCTTTTAACTGCCCTTGGCTCTACAGAAATGAGCCTACAAAGTTTTCCATCGCAGGCAGCTGTTACGGGAGCCGTAACAAAAATCAGTAGGAAGCTCTGCTATGGATGGGTAGATATTTTAGTTTGCAAGAGCCACTTAGCACCAGCATCAGTTCTTTAAGGCCTCAAAAATATGAAGTATGTTAACAGATGCTGAAGCTGCCATTTAAAAGCAGACCATTGGTCCAATACTGGCCAACTGACTCTGATTCTCCGAGAAAAAGAGGTCCTTTTCAGCATGACCACCCAACAGTCTTTGAGATGCCAGGTAACACAACTGGAACCCTGTGCCTGTAAAGTGTGGCTCTTCCACTAAGCCATGAGCCTGAGCAAATTATTTTGCTGAGTTTGCTAAGGTTGCTATCCCAGAATGTTGAATCCAGAACCCACAATGTCAGTCAATGTCTTGCCACTGAGCTCTCAGACTAAAAACACTGTGTCTTGAGTGTAGAAAAAGTCCATCCTGCTTTCTATTATTGAGACATGCAATCTCTTACTCAGCTGCAAATATTCACGTTGAACAATAGTCTTAATCAGGCAGAATGTAAAAATAGCTTATTCACAGCGCTACAGATAGCACAGCTGACTACAACTATTTGCTTTGTATGCCTTTCAAATATACTGCAGCTTAGTACAAAGCAGCTAAACACTGCAAGTACCCTGATCTTA